ACATACATACCTGTTCCAACTTACAAACAGATTCGACTTAAAATTCTGTCCGTAACTTGGGGACTGCCTGTATTCATGCAAAGGCATAAATGTTGTTGTAATTAATATTAATTGTAATTAATAGTCACACCCCTATGTAGACCGGGCAATCCAGTAACATTTTTGTTTACTTTTACTCCTAAACTATTATTATGTGGTATGTCACATCCAACAATGTGATGTGGCGGCAAAAAAAGCCAATGGGATTTTGGCCTGCATCAATAGGAGCATAGTGTCTAGATCTAGGGAAGTAATGCTACCCCTCTATTCTGCTTTGGTTAGGCCACACCTGGAATATTGTGTCCAATTCTGGGCACCACAATTCAAGAGAGATATTGACAAGCTGGAATGTGTCCAGAGGAGAGCGACTAAAATGATAAAAGGTCTGGAGAACAAGCCCTATGAGGAGGGGCTTAAGGAGCTGGGCATGTTTAGCCTGAAGAAGAGAAGGCTGAGAGGAGATATGATAGCCATGTATAAATATGTGAGAGGAAGCCACAGGGAGGAGGGAGCAAGCTTGTTTTCTGCTTCCCTGGAGACTAGGACGTGGAACAATGGCTTCAAACTACAAGAGAGGAGATTCCATCTGAACATGAGGAAGAACTTCTTGACTGTGAGAGCCGTTCAGCAGTGGAACTCTCTGTCCCGGAGTGTGGTGGAGGCTCCTTCTTTGGAAGCTTTTAAACAGAGGCTGGATGGCCATCTGTCAGGGTGATTTGAATGCAATATTCCTGCTTCTTGGCAGGGGGTTGGACTGGATGGCCCATGAGGTCTCTTCCAACTCTATGATTCTATGATTCTATGTGTGATACAGATTTCTGAGAGGGTAATTTATCTTGCTTTTTCTGTCCTCAGCTTTCCTTTCTCTCTTTTTTCTCTACTCCATGACATTTGAATATAAATATATTTATATATAAAAAGGTAAAGGTTTTCCCCTGACATTAGTAAGTAAGTAAACTTTATTACGATCGATGACCAGATCATAACAGGGGGACCCAGTCCCCTACATCCACATCAAACCTAAGGGGTTTTATACTTCAAACTTCAACAAATTTTAAAATCTAAGCTAAAAACCAATACAAGTAGTTATTAAAACCTAACTCAACCCACGAGATCATCTAAATGTAGTCTAAAGAGAGGTAGTAGGGATGGCACCGAGGAGGGGGAAACATCCAACACTATAAATATCACTTTATATCTGACTTCCCATCTATATTACAGTGGTGAAGCTTAGGTCTTTTAACCCTCAATCATCATCTACCAAATTTTAATTGCAGCCGTGCAGAACTTAGCGAGGTTGTATGTCACATCCAAATTTGTGTCTGTGAACAGCAGAGCTACATAGAATTGTCCAGAGCATCCTGGGTATTTAATTGTCCATGGCGAGATGAGACGAGATCGACCCCTGACATTAAGTCTAGTCGTGTCCAACTCTGGGGGTTAGTGCTCATCTCCATTTCTAAGCCGAAGAGCTGGCGTTGTCCATAAACGTCTCTATCATGTGGCTGACATGCCTGTATGGAGCATTGTTACCTTCCCACCAGAGCAGTACATACTGCTCTACTCATATTTGCATGTTTTCGAACTGCTAGGTTGGCAGAAGCTAGAGCTAACAGCGAGAGTTCACCTCACTCCCTGAATTCAAACCACCAATCTTTTGGTCAGCAAGTTCAGCAGCTCAGCGGTTTAACCTCTGCAACACTGGGAGCTCCAATATTTATATATAATATCCTTAAATATAAAACTATCACTTTTTTAAAAAATCTGTTTTTTAACAGTCTCACTGTTTTCAAATGTGGAGATGAAAACATATTTACTAACTGCTAGCTGCAGTATTTGTTTCTCAGGATTTTTAGAAGATCCCAAGAGTAATAGGCCTGATTTTAAAGAGATAATCAAATGCCAATATGTCTTCCAATAATTTATAAAACGCTCCACATCTTATGGTAATACTTAATACATGAAATCCTATGCATTTTACTGGAAATTAAGACCTATAGTTCAATGAGGTTTGCCCCTAGTAATGGGGTTTGTCTGCATGACTGTCCCTCATCAGGTAAAATATCTATATTTGTTCTTCAGGCATCTATATCAGGCATGGGCAAACTTTGGCCCTCCAGGTGTTTTGGACTTCAACTCTCAGGGAGTTAAAGTCCAAAGCACCTGGGGGTCCGAAGTTTGCCCATGCCTGATCTATATGATATCATATTTCTGACCACAGGCCTGTGAAAATTTGGGTATTTTGAATGGGGATTTCTGGGTGAGTCAACATTTGAGTAGTTTACCACAGTAGTGTTTTAATAATTTTAACAATTTGTTATGTTGTTATGTGGTTTTAACTTGTTTATAATAATTCCACGCTTAATTCCATTTTTATATTTAAATGTTCTAGATTGTTATTTGTGTTGTTTTTAATGTTGCCAGCTGCTTTGAAACTTGGTTAAGAGAGAAAAGCAGAGTATAAATGATGATGAGGATAGTGATGATTAAGATTAATAATTAAACAATACATTTCTTGTCACTGGGCACTACAGCAGAATTACTTTGGCTTTTTGACCCCACAAAACTGTATTTTTGGATGAAGAATTTGAAAAATATGTCATTTTGTGAAGTGTGCAGAACTGGGATTCAAATAGAGAGGACTGTGAGAAATGTTGGAAAGAGATGTCACATTGGAAATGTTCAGGTTGTCCTTCCGTTAATTTCCTCCCTTAGAAAAGAAGACTGTGTTGCCGAAGGCTTTCATGGCTGGAATCACTAGGTTGCTGTGGTTTTCTGGCCATGTTCCAGAAGCATTCTCTCCTGACGTTTCACCCACATCTATGTCAGGCATCCTCAGAGGTTGAGAGGTCCGTTGGAAACTAGGCAAGTGAGGTTTATATATCTGTAGAATGTCCAGGGAGGGAGAAAGAACTCTTGTCAGCTTGAGGCAAGTGTGAATGTTGCAATTGACCACCTTGGTTATTATTTCAAAGCCTGGCTGGTTAATGCCTGAGGGGAATCCTTTGTTAGGAGGTGTTAGCTGGCCCTGATGGATTCTTGCCTGTAATTCTGTAATGTCTGGGCCCTTCCACACAACCCTATATCCCAGAATATCAAGGCTGAAAATCCCACAATGCCTTTTCTAGATGTCCTAGTCATCCGTAAATCAGATCAACAATTGGGTCACACCGTTGACAGAAAACCCTCACACACTGATAGATATCTACATAAAAACTCCAATCACCCAAGTCAAAAAAAGAAAAAAGCACCATTAAAACCTTGGCAGACTGTGCAAAAAGAATCTGCGAACCCCACCTCCTCCAAGATGAACTGAACCACCTAAACTGGGCTCTACAGGCCAATGGATACTCCACCTCAGACATCAGAAGAGCTGCAAGACCGAGAACAAGCCACGAGAATAAAGACGAAGATCCACCCAGAGGAAAAGTGTTCTTGCCATACATCAAGGGAACCACTGACCGCATAGGGAAGCTGATGAGGAAACACAACATACAAACTATCTACAGACCCACCAAGAAAATCCAACAAATTCTACGTTCAGCAAAGGACAAGAGGGATCCTCTCACCTCTGCAGGAGTCTACCGTATACCATGCAGCTGTGGACAAGTCTACATAGGGACCACCAAACGCAGCGCCCAAACACGAATCAAGGAACATGAAAGGCACTGCAGACTACTTCAACCAGAGAAGTCAGCCATAGCAGAGCACCTGATGAACCAGCCTGGACACAGAATATTATTTGAGAACACATAAATGCTGGACCACTCTCACAACCACCATGTCAGACTACACAGAGAAGCCATTGAAATCCACAAGCATGTGGACAATTTCAACAGAAAGGAGGAAACCATGAAAATGAACAAAATCTGGCTACCAATATTTAAAAAAACTCTAAAATTAAAACAGCAAAGCAGCATAGGGAAAACAATCAGGGACATCTAATCACCTCTCAACAAAAGATTGCTCCAGGCACTACGAGGCTATCAAATGCTAATCAAGGTGGTCATTTGAAACATTCACATCTAGCTCCAGCAGACAAGAGTCCTTTGTCCCACCCTGGTCTTTCCACAGATATATAAACCCATTTTCCTAGTTCCAACAGACCTCACTACCTCTGAGGATGCTTGCCATAGATGCAGGCGAAACGTCAGGAGAGTATGCCTCTAGAACATGGCCATATAGCCCGAAAAAACCTACAACAACCCACAATATCTGCTTTGAACTGGGTTATCTGAATACACACTTAGATATGTGGGATATTCCGCCTTGAAATTCTGGGATATAGGGCTGTGTGGAAGGGCCCTGGGTTATCTGAATCCACACTCAGATAATGTGGGATTTTCCACCTTGAAATTCTGGGATATAGCGCTATGTGGAAGGGCCCTGGGTTATCTGAATCCACACTCAGATAATGTGGGATTTTCCGCCTTAAAATTCTGGGATATGGGGCTATGTGGAAGGGCCCTGGGTTATCTGAATCCACACTCAGATAATGTGGGATTTTCTGCCTTGATTTTCTGGTGGCCCTTCCACACATAATTACAAGGCAGAAAATCCCATATTATTTGAGTGTGGACTCAGATAACCCAGTTCAAAGCAGATATTGAGAGATTTTCTGTCTTGATATTCTGGGATATGGGGCTGTGTGGAAGGGCCCTCTGTAAAAAAAGCCAAAAGACTTTGCCGCTTTAAGGCAGGCTGAAGATACAGAGGAGGATTTTACAGCCAAATAACCTCCCTCTTTCCTTTTGAGATTGCTAAAAACAGCCTTCTAAAGGGAAGGGTTAACTGTAAAGGAAGGGTGAAATGTGGGCACCTACCCATTCTGTCCCTATGCCAAATGCCGTGCTTTCTCCCCACCTTTTAGTAACCGGCATCATGAGAAGGGACTTCCCATTCCCACCCACCGTCCTTCCTCTCTAGAGGTCTTTAACCGGTTTTTCTAGCCCGGCCTTCAAATAGCAGCAGCAGCAGGGCTAGCTGGGGTGAGTCAGTGTTTGGAAATGGAGTGGGCGTGTGTGTGAATGTAAGAGAATGAATGATGTCAGGCGAGGCTGGGGCAGACAGCGGGCGGGAGGGAGGAAGGCAAGGCAGGCAGGGAGGCAGCAAAGAGCATGAAGCTGGCTGTAAACACAGCGGCGGCTCCAGAAGCAACAGCACCGCCAGCCCAGCAGCCTTGCTTTCTGAGTCTTTTCTCTCTGCCCTCTAGAGCGGCGAGGCGAAGAGTGAAAGCAAAGCTGCCTGCGAAGGGAAGGGAGAGGCTGTAGGCAAACTTTCTTCTTGCCGTTTCTTTTCCTCGCGGCTGCCTGGCCCGGAGGAGTTGGGAATGCCAAGAGAGCCTGGAGCCTTTCCCTGCTGAAGGCTGGAAGGCAGAACTTGCTCGGAAATTACCTCTTCCCCTTCAAAATAAGCAGGTAAGTTCAAGAACTCAAAGCTTATCTCTCAGGAGGAAGAGGCGAAACCTCACTTACTCAGGGCGTTGCTCTATAGAAGGAAAAATGAGGTGTACCGTTTGGGAGATGGGATTTCCGTCTTGCTTCCGCGAAGTTAAGACATTTACTCTTTGATTGCTCGCTTTTTAAATAATTTTCCTCATTTAATAGATTAATCTCCCGTTAGTTTGTAATAGCGCCATGGTATGTATGCCTACGTACAACTACTCCACTGAGTTTCAGTAGTTTTTATTTCCAAGTAACTGTTTTTAGGATTGCAGTCTCAAGTGTTGAAAAGCTACCTACTGGTTAGCATAGAAGTTCTTGTAGAGAGGACGTGGTGAAAAGTTGTAGGCTCGTTTGTTACTTGTATAACATTAAAAAAAAAAGCTTTCATCGAAATTTTATTCTGCGATTTGGTATGGGGTTATTAGGAGAAGCTTTTGATTTAACAAACTTGGGCTGAGGGATTTATCTTCTTGGGGAATTCCATGCTGATTTGAGCTACAGCTTCATTAGATATTTCAAGATAAGAGTTCTGTAATCCAGTTTATTTTCAATATATTTTTAAAGAATGCAGAGCATTGCATTTAAAATGTTAAAAACAGTTGATTGGACGCACGAAAAATACACTATATGGTCTAAGATATACAAATATAGGTATTATTTACCATATCGGAAGCAAACTGAGGGTGCAGTTGTAAACACAAAGTTTAAAGAACTTGTCGTTATTCTAAATGCCCTTTGACCAGTAGCTGGCCCTTGGAGTGCCTCTGATGTTGCTATAAGAAGATCCTACATTGCGCATGCGGCAGGGCTCAAACTGCATTGTAATAGGTGGTCTCTGGTTTGCTCTTATCCACACTCACATGTCGTGGACTCCACTTTGTGGCCCCATTTCTTAAGGTTGGCTCTGCATCCCGTAGTGCCAGAGCGCAGTCTGTTCAGCACCTTCCAAGTCGCCCAGTCTTCTGTGTGCCCAGGGGGGAGTCTCTCATTCAGTATCAGCCATGGATTGAGGTTCCAGGTTTTAGCCTGCCACATTTGGACTCTCGCTTGCTGAGGTGCGCCTATGAGTATCTCTGTAGATCTTAGAAAACTATTTCTTGATTTAAGGCATTGGCGTGCTGGCTGATATTCCAACAGAGGATTGGCCAGAGATGTCACTGCCTTGGTCCTTTCATTATTGATGGATGTCAGGTATTGCAATACCAGCTAAACAGTGTAATTTCTCCAGTGGTGTGGGGCATAGACATCCTGTGATAATGTGGCATGTCTCATGAAGAGCCACATCCACTGTTTTAAGTTGGTGAGATGTGCTCCACACTGGGCATGTGTACTCAGCAAAAGACTAGCAACACACAAGAGCAGGTGTCTTCACTGTATCTGGTTGTAATCCCAGGTTGTGCCAGTCAGCTTTCATATGATATTGTTTCTAGTAACCACTTTTTTGCTTGATATCCAAGTAGTGCTTCTTGTAGTTTAGAGCACAGTCCAGAGTAATTCCCAGGTATCGGGGTGTGTTGCAATACTCCAGTGGGAAGCGACTTGGAACAATAAAGGTATAGATTCAGAACTATAGCTAGGTAGAGGTTGTATTAACAGTTTGTCTTAAGACAAAATATTTCAGTAATCAAGCCATTTAAACCTTCTAGGGCAACAGTGTCAGTATAATCTCTTTTTTTATGTTTTACATTCCATATGGGAACTGTAGAAGCTCTTAAATTCTAGTGAACATGTGACACATCTGTGTGTGTAATACTTCAGGGTTAGGCTCACTGATAGAAATTTACAGTCCCTAAAACAAAACATTACAGCCCTGGACATTTTATCAGTTCTGATATTGTAAATATAAACTCAGATATTTGGAAGTGGATGTTTAACTCTGACATTCTTGAGAGTTTCATATTACTTGGTGGGTATATGTGACAGTAGGTTTTTAATGAGTTATTTTGAGGCTAATCTACTTGTTGATGAGAAAAGCATACTGAAATCAGTAGACATGTCTTCTAGGTAAATGTGTTAAATGGAAACTACTTCATAAAGTATTAACTAACATATGTGAATGCAATCCAAGGCAGTTAAGATGAGCAATCCCTTATTTTTCAGTCTGAGAATCAATGACCACCACTTTCTGGACTGATGGATTCAGCAGCAGGTGGCTGGTATGCTCAGTGCAATGAAAGTAGGAATTAGAGAGCGAGGTTGGAGCATGTGAACTTGGAGGGAAAGAAATACAAATAAGAGAAAACAGACTGATTGACTGAATATTATGGGAAGTAGAGTGCACAGTAAGAAGGAAAGTGAGAAAGTAATTGTTGGATTTGGGTTTTATTTGTTTTATTGTGTAAATGGCTTTGAGCAGTCTTTGTCTCCATTTAGAAATATTGTTCAATAAATAAACAAAAGGATAGATGAACTGAAGAAAAGAAGTAGCCAAGGCTGCTAATATGATGGTAACTTTCTACATGAAAAGAACACCCTGTCTTTGGACTTGCACTAAGAACTGTAGATTTTACCCCTGGGTAGAAAGATGTGGAGAGAGAAACTGGAACTGAGTAAATGTGTTTGTTGTTTGTTTTTGAGCAGCAGGGAGAAAGCCACCATGGTGATGTGGTTTGAGTTTTGGAAACCCTGGCTCAGTCATGGAAATCTATTCGGTGAGTTTAGGAAAGTCTCACTCTCTCAGCTTAACAGGAAGGCAATAACAAACTTTATCTGACTGTGTTCAGCCAAGAAAACCTATGATGGACTTTGTCTTGAGTCTCTGAAATACAGCCTACATCCCTTGTATTCATTGGCAGTCTTCCATCCAAGTTCTAACAGTGCTGGTCCTGATTAACTTCCAAGAACTGACGGGATATGAAGTCTTTAGAGCAGGCATCCTCAAACTGCGGCCCTCCAACTCCCAGAAGCCCTAACAAGCTTGTTCAATTGTCAGGAATTCTGGGAGTTGAAGGCCCAAACAGCAAGAGGGCTGCAGTTTGAGGATGCCTGCCTTAGAGTATTTGAGCTATGTGAAAATCACTACTATAAATTTATTATTGTGGTAAATTTTGAAAAACTGGGATTAGATATTAGTAATGCTTCCATCTATAACAGTTTTGTGGTATCTCTTCACTTTCATTTTGTGACGTGAGCCTCAGCCTTTTTAAACTTTGCCATGGAGGCCTGTAGATAGAAAATCTGAGAAACTCTGTGTTAGACAATACTTTTTGAGGTTTGAGGGATTGAGTTAGTGTGGTTGTGAACCTGAAACAGAGGGCCCTTCCATATTTATTTATTTATTTCATATATTTATATCCCGCCCTTCTCCCCACAAGGGGGACTCAGTGCAGCCTCACATGAGCTTCAGAGGATGCTAACATCATAAATACAATAAAAAATACAATTTACAATAAAATCAGTTTAAAACATTATACTACATCATCCGTAAAATTTAACAATAAATTAATAGATTAACGTGCCAGTAAAACTAAGACGAGCCGGGAGAATCCGTATAGCAAAATCCAAATTTCCTTTTCCTATTGCCGCTGGCCTCTAATTGAATGCCTGCCCCCAGAGCCAGGTCTTCAGTTGTCTTCTAAAGGACAGGAGGGAGGTGGCCAACCTGATATCCTTAGGGAGAGAGTTCCACAGACCGGGGGGGGGGGGGCACTGCCGAGAAGGCTCTGTCTCTCGTCCCCACCAACCATGTTTGCGAGAGTGGTGGGATCGAGAGCAGGGCCTCTCCTGATGATCTTAAGCTTTGTGATGGTTCATAGCAGGAGATACGTTCGGACAGCTGTATAACCCAGAATATCAAGGCAGAAAATCCCACAATATCTGCTTTGAACTGGGTTATATGAGTCCACACCACTATATATCCCAGTTCAAAGCAGATAATGTGGGATTTTATTCAGTTGTGTGGAAGGGGCCAGAGTCACAAAATGAAGTGTCCTCCTGTTTTGTGGTATCAGTCCATTCACCCAGCTTTCTTTAAAGTATTAGCCTTATAAACAAGAAGTTCTGTTTTTATATTGAATTTGTATGTAAGTCGGAACAGGTACATTTTTAAAGTGTAACTTCAGCCAAATATATAAATCTTTAAACTGTGGATAGCCTACAGGAGGGTTAACTCCCCTGCTGTGTTTGTTTTGCTATCTGTGCCCCTGTTCAGAAGATTTCACCACACTTTCTGTCCCTGTGATAATTGGATTTTGAAAAATTCGGCTTGTTATGGAAACAAGGATTGTGATAAAGCTTCAGTGAAGACGTCTTTTTTCTCTTTCAGGAGTAAACTTCCCTTCCTAGGGCCCTTCCACACAGGTCTGTATCTCAAAATATCAAGGCAGAAAATCCCACATTATCTGCTTTGAACTGGGTTATCTGAGTCCACACTCAGGTAATGTGGGATTTTCTGCCTTGATATTCTGGGATATAGGACTGCATGGAAGGGCCTCTAGAAGTAGATTTCTCTCACTTTCTTGTTCTTAACTATGAGTCATTTGTATATTGGATGTTTGTAACTTGAGGATTCCCTGTATACTTCTGATGTTTTAAACTTGACTAACATATTCTTGACTCAGCCTCTGTAGTCCCTTGAAAATCTTGATGGTTAGTTCATTAACCTCATTTAAATAAATGCTAACTTTCTGCTAACAATCTCAAGTATGCATTCGTAGTTTGATCTGCTTTGCACTTGTACTGTGCAGAACAGGTCTTCAGATTTATGGGAATTTCATAGTGATGATATAATCTAGTATGTTCTTAATCAACACTCCTTGCCATTTTCTGTCTTTTAAAGCTTAACATTTTAATTCAACCATTCTGAAATCTCCAATTTACTTTAGTTGCAATCCAATTTTATTCCAATTTCAGTAATCTCATTTTAAGAGAAAGGCTGGGTTTAAATTAAATAAAGTAAATAAGGTTAAGTAGAGATATAATGAATATATTTCTTTGCATTGATAGCTCTAAAAAAGTAAACTCCTAAAATCTTC